GATGAAAACTGGGAGATTTGGCGTCACTCGCTAAAAAGTAATGTCGGCCAAGGTTGGTAAGTAAGCAAACACGCTTTAGTCGAACTATCATTGTGCTATTATCCTTGGGATCTTCTTCGTTGGATCCAGGAGCATAGTTGATTTCGCCATTTTCCTAATGAGGAAGTCCTTGGTTTACTTCTTGAGCAACAACATACACTCAAGAGTCACAGATGCAGGAATCATCAGCCAGCCATGGCAGAGTCATAGACTTGGATCGAAATGTCATCTTTTAGTACCTAGACGAAGTTGAAATTGGAGAATACGTCAAGTTAATAGTGTAGTCTGCACATAGGACGACAACGAAGTGAATATCTCAATGGCGTCTATTGTCACTTGCTCACAAAATCTCCACCATCCTCAAGTTTGACAAATTTTGACAACAATCAACATCTGGGATGAGCCTTATTACCTTCACCACACCAGTATGGCCTATGAGTCCTGCATTTCGGCTACTTCCAAGTCCTCGCTGTAATATATTCATCCATTTTATCTGCCTTCTCAGACGCACAACTCGGAACGACCGACAGCAGCGAGTTGTGTTGAGGCAAGCGCGCATCCCCTCACACTTCCCTAAATATGATGAATTCTCGCCACTTTGTCAAGCTCACACCCCAGTTCTGCCTTCGAACGCTACCCTATATGTCTGGTACGTCTGGCAGAATTGGCATTCCAATCGAGTGAGCCATGTACCGGTTGAATAATCCATGATTTCCAGAAGGTTTCATCTTTCCTACACTCCCAATAAGTCTAGGACCCCAACCAACGATTCGTTGTTGACATTTCTGACTGACTGACTGAACCAGAACAACATCGTCCGGCACACAAAGCAAAGTGCTTTTGAGAGCCAAAGCGTGCCTTGACAAAAGCGGCTTTGGCGTAATTTGTTCTGCCAGTCCTTTCACCCACTGCCACTACCTTTGACCCACTGCCACTCAGCAATTATTCGCCACGACAAAGCCAGAGATCTTTGCATAGTGGTCGGTGGGTAAAGAAGGATCAAATGACTGGTAATTCACTACAGGGTAATTGTCACAGTTGACGGGAAGGTTCGATAGTTGCACATGAAGCTACCATGAGATTGAATATCAAGATAAGTTGGCTCGCAACCTAGCTCGGTGAAGTTGGACCTGAGCAGTTGGTTCAAAGATCTAATTTCTCGAATTGAGCGCTAATATTCAAAAAAGATCTAGATTTCGGTTATGGACCAGTCATAGAAACTGGAAACATATGAGCTGAGGAAGGAAAGAATGAACCCAAACCTCAAAGATCGCAGGGTTTTCAGTTGCGACAGCGCGAGGCTTTTCTCGGGAAGAACCACATGACCGAGTGTCAAATGGGACTTTTCAGCTGAAGTCATGTCACAGCGCAGCTCTATTGTATTTCCTTGCAGAAGATGCCATGTGACTGCCACCGCTCCTGCCACACTGCAGACTCGGCTAACATGCTCTCCCAGACGTCGGACGCAATGACACTTTTCCTCGCACCTTCTCAGACTGGCCTAGGAAGCAGGCACCGGTCAGGTGGCAGGCACCATACAAGGTCCGCCATATAAGGTCCTCCCCCAAGCCCCTCTACCACAGCGGGGAGTTCTGCGGTCTCGAATGTCATGGCGCATTGGATCGTTGATGAAAACTTGGCGCGGCAGTTTTCGTAGGTCTGTAGCTGGGATATTGTCGTTCCTTCTACAAACTTACCTGGGCGACTTAGCCTTTTGCACCTTTGTTTGATTCGCGAATGGATGAAAATGCTGAAAATCGCGGTTTGGGATTGTGGGAGAGATTTGTTTGTTGGATTGCTTGTAACGCCGACCGTTTGTGATATTAGTGCCTTTTGTGCACCTCGGACACTCCGCTCTGATCGTAACAGAACACGACTTTGGGCTAATTCGCTTGAGACTGGCAGTTACAAATGACGTGGGTAATCACACATAATGAAATATAGAGGGTCTGTGAAGTTCGCTCTTCTCTTCTCGGAGAAGTCAAGAGGAATGTCCAAGTTTATCCAAAGGCAAAGACGGGAAGGCGAGACGGTGAAGCACCGACACCTTCGTCATGACCGTGGTACCTTTCGAGACGATTGCATTGTATATATGAGGGTTGCTATCAATTTAGGTGCTTGCTGATTACACATTCGTTGATGCTTCTGGTGCTTATGTCTACATAAACCGGAGATCTTTGATTGTCTCGAAATAAATGAAGCCAACTTGCGGGTCAATCATGAGCTATAAGACGTAAATGAGGGACCAGCGGCTCATGTGCTTTGAAGCCCGGCTATGCAACTGATGTGAAATCTTAAACGGAGCTTCCCTTCCTGTACGATAGCACTTCGTGTAACGCAGCTGCATATGTAGTTGAAGTCTAGTACCCCGCCTTTGATGATGCTCGATGACCTAGATTCGTGGACTCAACCCTTGCTTCAATCCCAACGAGGACAGAACAGCAGAGCACCAGAACTAGCGAGTCAGATATCCTCTTTGGTTCAGAACCTGTCTGCTCGAACCTCGTTGATCAAACTTCCCTTCATTCAGATCACATCGACCAGCTTCACTCTAAACCAACACACAAGAACGGAACCAGAACAAACCGAAACCAACCATGGGCAACTCTTCCCAACCTCGAACCATCTACGGTCCTCCTCGCCTCCTCGACATTCAAACCACCGTCCCCGACCCGCGAATCCTCTTCATGAAAAACGTCTCCATCCCTCTCAACTCCTCCCCGTTTCCCATCCGCGCCAACATCTACCTCCCAAAGCCATGTGCCTCCTCGCCCGGCCTCAATGTCAGCGAACCCCGACCCGAGGCCCAATCCAAGAAATACCCGGCCATAGTAACCTACGGCCCCTACGGGAAGGACATCCCCTACTCTTCATTCCACCCAGGCTCCTTCGCCGAGGTCAACGCCGAGCAGCGGTCCGAGTTCTCCGCCTGGGAGACGCCCGATCCGGTGTACTGGTGCAAGCAAGGGTATGCGGTGGTGCGAGCGGACGAGCGCGGGACGGGACAGAGCCCGGGACTGCTGGATACGATGAGTAAAGATACGAGTGATGCTTTTTGTCAAGTGATTGAGTGGTGTGCGGAGCAGGAGTGGTCGAATGGGAAGGTGGGGTTGTTGGGGGTTTCTTATTATGCTGGTGAGTTGAGTTATATGAAATCTAGACGAAAAAAAAAAAAAAAAAAAAAAAATTGGTTGACAAGTGACAACAGGTTCACAATGGCGAGTCGCTGCTCGTCGACCAAAAGGCTTAGCGGCCATCATCCCTTGGGAAGGCATGTCTGACTACTACCGTGATCGGTGTCGACATGGTGGGATCCTTTCCAACAACTTCATCGATATCTGGTGGAACCGGCAGGTGCTGGTTAATCAGTATGGTCTGCCCGGCCGCTCCAAACTGAAGTTCCCACCAGACGGACCCAGCGCCAGGGGACAAGAAGACACGATCGAAGGTGACCTATCCGAGGAACAGTTGGTATCAAACAGGAACGATCAGACCAAAGACAACGAGGCGCATCGGTTCCGCGACGAAGACTATTATGCCAGTAAGGAGTATCGACTTGAGGACATCGAGGTTCCTGTGCTGAGCGTGGCGAACTGGGGCGGTATCACGCTCCATCTGCGTGGGAACGTGCTGGGTTATACGTACGCCGGGTCAAGATTCAAGTATCTGCGTTTCATCACTGGTCGACACGATCTTCCGTTCTACTACAAGGAGCAGGTTGAACTTCAAAAGAGCTTCCTTGACGCCTTTCTCAAGGGAGAAGATAAGGTCGGCTGGAGTGTCCCTAACAAAGTCTCTCCGATCGAGGTAACGCTGCGCAAAGGCAATATTGGGTTCAATGATGCAGTGAAGGAGAAAGCATACGAGAAACGGAGTGAGGGCCAATGGCCGCTTTATTCGACGGAGTATACAGACTTCTACCTTGGATCCGATCACGCCCTCTCCCGGAACAAGCCAGACGTCACTACGCCAGAGAGAATCGGATACAAAGCTCTCGGAAGCCTGGACAAGCCTGAGCTGGTCCAGTTCGTCACAGCACCCTTCGAGAAAGAAACCGAGATAACCGGCCATATCGTGGCACATTTGAATGTCTCGGTGACGCCTGAGAACACGCAAAACGAGGCAGACATTGACCTCTTCCTGACCATTCGCCATATCGACCGTTCGGGGAACGAAGTGTTCTACACCGGAACGGCGGGTGACCCCGTGCCTGTCTGCAAAGGCTGGCTCCGAGTGAGCAACCAAAAGGTCCACGAGGAAAATCCCAAGCACAAGCCATGGCTCCCTTTTAGAGAGTACTTCTCGACCGATGTTCTTCCCGTGAAGGCTGGAGAGGTGTACGGCGTTGACGTTGAGCTCTGGCCAACCAACGTAGTGGTGGGCGTAGGTGGTAGGATTTTGCTCGAGGTTTCCAGTGGTGACACGCAGGGAGCTGGGATCTTCCAGCATAACTCCGAGACAGACAGGTGAGTTCCCTTTCAACGGTCACATTCTGTGTTTGAACGCAGCGTACTGATTCTGCTCAAGACCCGCTTCGAAATTTGCTGGCCAGAATCATATCCATTTCGGAGAAGGCTTTGACAACTATGTCACACTGCCCATAATCCCGGAACACATCTAGGTGGTGCAACGTCGTCCTCAGGCAGTTTTCAAACAGCGAGAAATGGTGTTATATTCCAGAGACGGGGTATCGTATGTCGTGTGAAATCCTCCACACAAGTGCTTGCTTTGCTAGTGTTGCCAAAAAAAACAATAAACTCCGAGTGTTGTCCGCGAAATTTGGTAGCCCGTAAATTCCAGTGAAAGCTGTGAAGTTTGTTGTTCGTCGTGACCAAACGCCCTTCCAGTCGCTGCTTCCTCCCCCCTCATTCGTTGTTCCCCCGTGCCTCCACGTCCACCGCGGCATCCCCTTCTCCATCCACCATTTCCGCGAGATACCCAACATTGCCGCGCAACATCCATCAGCTAACACAGATGCCGTCTGAACCGTTGTCGTTGTCCCCGTATCAGGCGTTCTCGAGTAGACAGTCGTTTAGCCGAACTTTCTGGTTCCACCCTTGAATTTCTCCTTGTTCTCCTCCTTCTTGCCCTTGCCGATCAGCTCCAAGTGACCAGCCCTGGCTCCCAGCATCTTCTCGGTCTTGGCGGCCATGCCGGCAGTGAACTTCTTCTGGACCTTGTCGGCCTTGGTCTTGTTCTTCTTGACCTTGGAGACGCCCGACTTCTTGGGAGCCTTGCCGCCCTTGGACCGGTTCAGTCCAGGGTTGGGCTTGGTGATTTTGCTGCCCGAGCCTTGGGCCATGTTGGCGGTGGTTCGTAATGGATTTTTGAATGAGGCGACAACCGGATTGTGGAGGTCGCGCAAATTGAAGGAAAAGGGAAAGAAAAGAAGAGAGAGAAAAACTGAACGAAGAGATGCAGCCAAAGTTTGGCACGCCGTTTTCTCACCGCCAAAATTGTGTCCGGCAGAATCTTTCTAGACGAACGTGCGCACTTTAACCAATCCCCACATCCCCTCCACGCGGCATGTTCCGGCTCCACCGGACAGCTCCACGTCAAGGTAAGGCACCTTGTACCTACCTACTCGTGTTTGGCTGTCCACTACTGGCTTATCCCCTATCAACCACTGAAGCTATATACTGAACTGTCCATCATTTAAACAATCAACAACAGACACCAGTCCCTACCAGGTACCTATATAACAACCAGCACCTTACGAGATCAGTCCCTCGGCAGCATCCCATAATACCCGACCTCTACGAGCACCAGGCCGGTCCTTGACGACAACATAATCCTCGCTCGTCGATAAGCACGACGACCACCACCATTCTAATCCGGAACCCCCCTCCAAACCGATAATCAAGATGTCCGACCCCTTTGGAGCCGAGGCCGAACTAATCAACATCGAGAGCCACTTCTACCAAGGCCAATACCAAGAAGTCATCGACTTTGACACCACCTCCTTCTCGGCCGAGAATGCCCTCCCCGCGCGCGTTCTCCAGCTGCGCGCGCGCATCGCGCTCGGACAAGCCGAGGACGTGCTCGCCGAAGTTGCGGGAGAAAAGAAGCCGGAACTCGAGGCGGTGGGTGCGTTGGCGCAGCTGAAAGCGGGTGACGCCGAATCGGCCGTGGAGACGATCGAGCAGCTGGCGGCCACGGACGCGGGTGAAATCGGTATTGTCCAGGTCGTGGGCGGGACGGTGCTGGCGGCGGCGGGTAAAGCCGACGAGGCGCTGGCGCTGCTGCAGAGGCACCAGGGCAACCTGGAGGCTGTCGCGCTGATTGTGCACATCTACCTGGCGCAGAACAGGACGGAATTGGCGGTTAAGGAGGTGGCCAGCGCGCGGAGGCTGGCGCAAGATAGCTTGTTGTTTAACCTGGCTGAGTCGTGGGTTGGGTTGAGACTGGTTAGTTTCCCCACCCCTTTTTTCCTTTGCGGCGAAACACTTTTGCGGTTAAATCAAGCCGTTTACTAACTGTTGACTTTTGTCTACTATCACTCAACAGGGCGGCGACAAGTACCAACAAGCATTTTACGTCTTTGAAGAGCTCGCACAAGCACCCGCTACCTCCTCCGTACGGAGTCTCGTCTCGCAGGCCGTTGCTGAGATTCATCTCGGCCGCACAGAGGAGGCCCAGGCTGCCCTGGACCAGGCGCTCAAGAAGGAACCCGGATTCGCGGACGCCATTGCGAACCAGCTCGTCTGGAGCGTCATTACTGGACAAGATTCGGCCGAGTACAAGGCGTACGTTACAGACCTACACTTATGACTCTGGTTTCCTTTGCCTCTCCTTTGGTACTTACGTCTGCTAATATATATGTCTGCTTTACAGTGCCCTCGAGCAGGCTGATCCCAACCACCCCTTCTTGACCGATTTGGCCGAGAAGAGCGACCTCTTTGACAAGGCGGCGACAAAGTATAAGGCCAAGGTTTCTGCTTAAGCGAATGTTTTGGGTGAGGCGATGACGAACATGAGAGATATCTTCTAATTCACAAAAAAGGACAGGCGGGGGCGCAACAAGACGAATGACAAAGCGGTGGAATAATGCTTGTTGGAGAGGATTCAAGAAACAAGAGAAATCTGTGACCTTGGTAGTAATGCTGACATGCGGGTATAAATGCTAGACAGAGGAGCATTGGTTCTCATGGCAATGAGGTCGAGTCGATCGAATGCTTTCTGGACTTATACCGAGGAAGATGTGTGCCAATGCAGTATACAGCTGGGTGAATGAAAGCAGCATGTCGTATCTCTTTGCAGTCTTTCTGATACCGTAACCCTGGAGATATGATCCAAGTTTCAAGTTCAGACGCGGGCTTATTGAGGCTGAACAGTGATAGACGTGTGCAACTTGAAGATAAGAGAGAACGGTTACGGATGGTTCAGTTGGATAGTTGGATGGGTCGGACAGTCGGACATAAAAGTCGCACATCCATCGGAAAGGGATGTCGCACTCTTACACTACACTAGCGTATGTAGTAGAAAAGGGGGCAGAGGGGGCAGAGGGGGAAGGGGGGGCAAGGGGACTGATGCAATTCGATGAAGATCTCAGCCTTAAACTGGTAGGTGATAGCCGGACTTTGAGTGGTCCCGACGTGGCCTATGGGGAGGAATCCTTCATTCAATGACCGAGGTGCAACGGATTCAATGTCACGGCGTCTGACGATACGTTTGGTTGTTGGTCGGATATTGTCTGTTATAGGGACAATCACTTCAGAGATGCCAAGTGAGAAGTAAGCCTTGATTGAGTTGTGTTGGCTAGAGGTATGATGAATGTGGCTTGTATCAGATTGTTGAAGGCAGAAGGGGTCTGGTGTCGTGTAACATTGTAGTGGCATCATCAAGTCGGCATGGATCATCGTGATGGAGACTCAGTCTCGAAAGGGAAGAGATGTTTACAGTAACCTTGAAAGGCGGGGGCATGAAGACGAATGACCTATTGACTGGCTTCGGGACCTCGACGGCCTGTGATCCCGTCTTGCCCGTCACCCGTCTAAAAGGATAGGACCCACAACGGCGGCATCGCAGCGGACCCAAGTAAGACCCTTAGAGCGGCGGAAGCGGCAGCCCTGCTTGGCTTGGCTCCCGTCTCTGTCCGCTGAAAAGCCGAGAAAGCTTGACCTGCACGGTGCATCTTTAGGTGACCCTTCTAACCCTATTCCCGTTCCCTCTTTTTCTTCTTTTCTTTTCTTTTTGGCTCTCACTTGTACACGTAGAGTATCAGAAGGGTCAAACAATGTCAACAAAAGTCCGAGAACAGAAACCCCTTAAGCTGGCCTGAGGAAACGCACGACTTCAGTCAAGAGTCCGGGTTATAGTTCATGCAGATAACAAAGCTACTAGACTTAGGCAACAGTTTGGCAGTGTTCCATCCGTTCCCCGGAAAGCATCCTCGATTCGCGCAAGAGGTGCTCGGAGAGGTGAGGTGACCTTGACGAAGGCACAAGCGTGTGCGGCAAGGACGCGGTTAGGTTGAGAACTGATTGGTCTCAAATGCAAATGCGCAGTTTATTGGAATCAACGGGACATCACATTTGGGGGTCATGTTCTATATCTCTTTCAGCCCGTCTCGTGTTTATGACACCATTCAGCCCCTCCCATAGGCTCGTTGGAATGACGGCCCACCGCTTGTTTTTGTTCAAGGTCAACGGCGTAGTCAAGGAGGCCCCGAGAGCGGTTCAAGTTCGAGTAGCTTTGGCGGTTAATCTTCTGCTGTTGCGTCGTCTTGTTACACCTGCATACACAAGACAGATGTTGATGTATCGTGATGTACGCGTGATGTAACTCTGGGTTATGCAACTACCGCATGGATACCTTGGCTACCTTGTTGTACATTGGACAAACGCCCAACTTCCCCCTTTTTTTTTCGCGAATCGCGATCTGTGTTTTTTTTTTTTTTTCTTTTGACACCTTTGAAAGACGGGATGCGCCCCTGCAGATTTGGCCTTGTCAAGATACACTAAACAAACTAAATCATCCGCGGGCCCGAGCATCCGGCCGGAGATCCCCCGGGGCAATCGGTGGGTAGGCGGTGGACGAGACTCCTTGGCGGATTCAAAAAGTTGAAACTGTCCTCTTCCGTCAGGTTGGAGCATCACGCGACCCTCTTCAGTTCTTTTCTCTTCGTTCAGTTGTTTCCTCTTCAACCATATATCAGCCTCCACTTACAGCCTTGATACATACACTACACGCGACGGAGAGAAGCACAAAAAGTCAGTTCCAAGACTCCAAGCCCCCGCCGATCTCAGCTTCCACGACTTCCATTTTGTCACCCACTTCCTGGTTGCCCAGGATCCCCACTCCACTCGGGAATTTCCATCGCATTTGTCTACACACACACAGTGTAGTGTAAACCAGCTATCCCAGCCCGAATGACGTCTCTGTCCTCCAGCTCGGTCTGACCCTGATACACCCGACCGTCTCTACCGCTGTCGAGACTCGAATGGCTACCGCCCAGTTCGTCTCAACACAGTCTGAGAGTCCAAATTCCACCCTCCCATCGATCTTGAATGCACGCTAGACACTTACAGACAGTACTCTTGACGCATGAACGCGAAGTGTACAGTAACTCGACGGCATTATTCCCAAAATCATAACAACCCCTTTTATGTTTTGGTCATTGACGAGACACGATACTACTACCACCACCACCCTTTTAATCTTGCCAGACATTGAGCCTCGAATAAGTCAGAGGAGCGAGCCTATTCTTCCCCACGCCATTCCTCTTTCTAAACGATCCCGCCCCTTGCACATCAAACACACAGGCCTGCACGACACCACCACCACCAGGGCCCATCCATTACAGAGCGGCACTACCAAAGGAGGACCAACCGGCAGGACAAGCAACTTTCAAAACAAGAAACTTGGAAGCAGCCACAGCACCATTGACGATTGACGACGCTCCCCCTACGACAAATTGGCGCTTACGCAGTACTACGATTGTCGGACCCCTCTTTTGCCTTGCCCTGCCTTGCTTGGCTGATCGATCCCGTCAAGCCGTCACTGACTCGGCACCGCCACTGCCAATATCCCCGTATATAGCTCCATAGGTACCCAGCCGGGCGACCCCGCTAGGTCCCCCTTCCCGCCGCCATGGTCCGCATCATTCCAAACCGTCTCAAGTCATCCAGCAACTCCTTAGCAACTAGCAGAAGCACAAGTCCAATGCGAAGCAAGGGCGATTCAGCAAGCCCCGAGGGGCGCAGAGACACGGGCTTGGTTCTGGATGTCAAGATCATACAGGTGTGTTTGTTCATGTCGATGCGCGGTCCCGGCATCATCCGAATCGCATTCCATTTCCGCAACAGCAGCACTGATGGATGTTTTTGTTTTGTCTACTACAGGCCAGAAACCTCGCGGCAAAGGATCGAGGAGGCACATCGGATCCTGTAAGTTATGCGACAACAATCTCTACAACTTCCGACTACAAGTATCGTCAGCTGGTGCTGGTTGCTGACATAGGCTGCCTCCTGCTGCGTGTAGTACCTCGTATTGACCCTGGGCGACGCCAAATACACGACCTCCACGATACCAAAGACTCTCGACCCGATCTGGAACGAACACTACCAGTTTCCCATCAATAGCGCGCAAAGTCTTTCCCTCACTGGTATTTGCTGGGACAAGGATCGCTTCGGGAAGGACTACCTGGGCGAGTTCGAGCTCGCTCTTGATGAGGCCTTCGCCGAGGATGGCATCACCGACCTTGGGCCAGGCTGGATCCCCCTGAAGAGCAAGAGGACCGGAAAGAAGAGCAGCATCGTTTCAGGTGAGGTGGAGCTGCAATTGACCATCGTCGACAACTCGAATCTCGAAGCCACTCCCAGAGAGCTCTACGACCAGTTCATTTCCGTCACCAAGTCCGCGCCTGTGCTTGATACCGCCTCGCAAGTATCGTCCACGCGCTCCAAGAACGCATACGAATTTACCAATGGCGATAGCGACACCTTGGGTATTGTTTATCTGGAGATTGGTAAGATCACCGACTTGCCTCCCGAGCGCAACGTGACCAAGACCGGCTTCGATATGGATCCCTTCGTCGTCATCTCACTCGGCAGACAGACATTCCGCACCAAGACGATCCGGCACAATCTCAATCCTGTGTACAACGAAAAGATGATCTTCACGATATCGAATTACGAGCAGATGTACTCCTTCAACTTTACCGTCATCGACCATGATAAATATTCTGGCAACGACTTTGTCGCTTCCGTCAACCTTCCGATCCGGGAAATCATGGAAAACGCACCAAAGCCCAACCCAGAAACCGGTCTCTATCACCTGAAGGATATCCCAGACTACGCTCCAGTGCAGAAGAGCGGTGGCCGATTCGCGAGATTGGGCCTGTCTCGGACGGCCTCTGTTCAAAGCTTGAGCAAAGCCGCCAGGCCTGGTCTTTCTAGGCAAAACTCCACGGCCGCAAAGGAACCATCGGTAGCTGGGACCCCTCTTCAGATCGCTGTCGACAGTGCTCAGGAATATGGCCGGAATGCCCTTCCCCCGCCTAGCCCGGCCCTGCTGTCACCTGGGGAGAATCCCATGGCGGCGGCGGGTGCGGCTGCTATGGGTGGCGAGATTGCGTCCCAGTCCGAAGGGGACGACGACAACTTCACTTTCTTGACTCTTCCTCTCAAGATGAAGAACCTTGAGAAGTGGGAGTCCAAGCACAGCCCTCAACTCTATCTTCGCATCAAGTACATGCCGTACCCTGCGCTGAGACAGCAGTTCTGGAGGGCACTCTTGAAGCAGTACGACGCGGATGAGAGCGGGCGCATCAGCAAGGTCGAGCTGACAACCATGCTGGACACCCTCGGTTCTACACTGCGCGAGTCTACCATCGATAGCTTTTTCCAGCGATTCCCCCATAGGATGGAAGGGGACGACTCGGATGATTTGACCATGGACGAGGCCGTCATTTGCTTAGAGGATCAGCTAGAGGCCAAGTCGCGCTCGACCGTGCAGGGAATGGTCGACAAGGTCAAGGATAACGTAAAGAACCTCCTTCCTGGTCACGGCAAGGACTCTGGTACCACTAGTGATCAAGAGGACGCGGAGACTCCGGCCAGCGGTTCGCAACTTACCGATTCAACCCTCAACGTACCAGATCTTGGCACCTCGGGTGAAGAAGGAGACCTGCTCGACCGTGATGACTTGAACCTTTCATCTAGCGGCGAGGAACACGTTGTGGAGATCAAGGAGTGCCCTATTTGCCACCAACCTCGCCTGAACAAGCGGAAGGATGCCGACATCATTACCCACATTGCAACTTGCGCCAGCCAGGATTGGCGCCAAGTCGACAATCTTGTGATGGGTGGCTTCGTTACTTCCAGCCAAGCCCAGCGCAAGTGGTATTCCAAGGTCATCACCAAGATCTCGTATGGCGGCTACAAGGTTGGAGCCAACTCGGCCAACATTCTTGTCCAAGACCGTATTACCGGACAGATCAACGAGGAGAAGATGAGCGTCTACGTCCGACTTGGCATCCGCTTGCTGTACAAGGGTCTCAAGTCCAACAACATGGAGACGAAGCGCATCCGCAAGCTTCTCAAGAGCCTTAGTGTCAAGCAGGGCAAGAAGTACGACGACCCGAACTCCAAGGCTGAGATCCCCAAGTTCATCCAGTTCCACGGTCTTGATCTGTCCGAAGTTGCACAGCCTCTGGAGGAATTCAAGAACTTCAACGAGTTCTTCTACCGCGCCCTCAAGCCCGGTGCGCGCCCCTGTTCGGCTCCTGAAAACCCTCGCATCGTCGTTTCTCCTGCCGACTGCCGCTGCGTTGTCTTCAACAGCATCGACACGGCCACCAACGTTTGGATCAAGGGTCGCGAATTCACCGTGAGGCGCCTGCTTGGTGACGCTTACCCTGAAGATGTTGCGCGGTACGAGGGAGGTGCGCTCGGCATCTTCCGCCTTGCGCCACAGGATTACCACCGCTTCCATATCCCCGTTGACGGTGTTATGCGCCAGCCCAAGACGATCGAAGGAGAGTACTATACTGTCAACCCAATGGCCATTCGGTCGGCGCTGGATGTGTACGGCGAGAACGTGAGGGTGCTGGTGCCGATTGACAGTCCCGTGTTTGGCCGCGTCATGGTTGTTTGCGTTGGCGCCATGATGGTTGGTAGTACCGTCATTACGAGGAATGAGGGCGACGAGGTGAAGAGGGGTGAGGAGCTCGGGTACTTCAAGTTTGGTGGTAGCACGATTGTTGTGCTCTTTGAGCCGGGCAGGATGGTGTGGGATGAGGATCTGGTGCAGAATTCGCTTCTGCCTTTGGAGACTTTGGTAAGTCTGACTGATCAAGTGACTTGTATAGAGGTCGTTGACTAACAGTAACGAACAGATCCGCGTCGGCATGTCGGTCGGTCACGCGCCTGATGAGCCACAATGGATTCCTGATATGCCCAAGGACGAGGGCGATATCACGGCCGAGGACAAGGCCGAAGCCAAGCGCCGTATCCAGGGCCAGGTTGCCGAGGAGTCGCCGGAGGACAGCGGCAATGACGAGGTTCCCCCTCCTCAGGCGTTGGGTCCATGAGGAAATGGTCTCCGCCGTTTGGTTGGGTGGTTCAGATAATTTTGTGTCGACCTTTGGGATACAAGTGTATGTTTTTATGCCAACCTGGTCTTTGAGCGCTGAGTTTGAGCGTCCTGCATAAAGATTTGTAATATTATGATTTTACGAAGTATCGATATAAGCCCAACAGTCGTAGCACATCTTCATGGGTCGAATTACTGTCCAAGGCCTCGTGTGTTTGCTCCGTGATATTTTTCAGGGTATCATGAGTAACCAACCAAAACCAGTCCCTGGTTGTTCTTTACCTTCCACACACTCCCCATCCGATTTCCAAACGAGGCCCAGTCCTGAGCGCCTCGAGAAATGCACAATTCTACCTCCCATCATCTTCCCCATCCAGGCCGTGACAAAGAACATCAAAAGCTGTCCAGCAACTTGTCCAACTTCTTCCTCTCATCACCTGCCCCCTCTCCCTCCTCCCCTTCCCTTGCCCTCTTCCTCCTCCCACTCCCACTCCCACTCCCTCTTTCCTTCTCCTTTCCCCTCTCCTTATCCAGCTTCTCAACCCTTCCACCCACTCTAGCCAGCAGAACCCTCATCCTCTGCAACTCAGCCTCCATCTCCCCATTCTTAGTCACCAGATTCTCTTGTACCGCTTTCATTCCTCCTCCTTCTCCTCCTCCCCCTTCCCCTTCTGCCCCCTCCCTTACTTGTTCTCCCTCGGCATTCAGGTCTTGAGTAGGGGAAGCTGCAAACCCCTCAACCAACCCCTTAATTTTTCGTAATTTGGCCACCCGTTCCAACACCTTCCGTTTCTGCTGGTCCAATTCCTTCAACTGCGCCACCAACTCGGCAAACCGCTTGGCTTCCATGGGGTGGTCGTCTGCTTCCTTTTCCGAGACAGAGGACCAGGAGTCGGGTATGGAGGTGATTAAGCGGGGAACGGTCAAGTCGGCGTTTACTCGCAACCAAGCCTGTCCATGTTCGTCCTCCTCATCATCTTCGTCTCCATTTCCTTCGTTTTCTTTCGCCCCCAAGGATGTGGAAGTTGAAGTAGAAGTAAAATAAAGTTTGTCGATTTGTTCGGCTACGTGTCGTGTTGCTTGAGGAGGGTAGGCGCGTCGGTTGTGTTGGGTGAGGCGGTGGTTGAGTTTCTGGAGGGCTTCGGAGAGCGGTTTTTGAGGGATGCTTTGGTGTTGTTGGAGTTGAGAGTGGGGGGAGGAGGTGCCGTCGTTTTGAGAAGTGAAGGTGCGCGTTGGGGCCAAGGGTTGGGAGAGGGTGCGCGTTTGGGTGTTGAGGAAGTCGGATTTTAGGGAGAGGATGGTTGGTGGGGGTGGTTGTTGGGGTGGCATTATGGATTGTGTTCTGATCGTTTTGTGGTTGGTCGATTGCGGTGAAATTAATTGAAATGTGGGATGTCTAATTATATATCTCCAATCTCACGTGGATATGTATATCTTTTTACGTTGGATTGTGGTGGTTACGGTTATGTATTTCATCGATGTGATAGTTGGTGGATGAATGACACCGATGGAAGTGATGCTGTTTTGAGAATGAAATTGGAGAAGCGCGCGTTGACCCTAACCCTGGACTCCTCGGATAATGACAGCATGGGATGAGGGGTCGCTGTGGATGCACTGCAACAGTAACTGTACCTGGTCGGCATGGGGTAGTGGAGCTTGGGCCAACCACCCGATGTTCGCAACACTTGTGCTGGAAGCTGCCCCGGTCAACAGGAATTTGGAGATTTCAATAGAAAAGGAAACACCCTGAAATCTGTCACGAGAAGATCCCAAGGTCGCCTCGGTCGCTTGTGCTTGCGTCTGTGTTTGCGACAAGGACAATCGGGGTGTCATCTTCCACCACCATGCACCAGTAGTACGTACCCTCTTCGAACCCCCCGACTCGAGAAGCGACTCCATGGAGAACTGGAGAACGATGGAGACGCTGGCGAGGGAGATGGAGCACGCGAACCCCTCAACTTACTCGAGTCATGAACCCAGGACTGTGCTCTACTAGGATCCCTTTCCCAACCATGCGGTCGCATCTAGCACGCAACGCGACGACGACGACACCGAATGTGTACAGACGACTTCACGCCGCCGTCGGTCATCATCATGGCTTATTGCGCCCATGCTCCGCAACAGCCCTCTCTGCCCGTCGTTGTCTCTTCGACTGCCAACATGACGTCGCGCACATTCCACGCGACGTTACCCTATGTACCCGAACCTCCAAGCGGACGTTTATCAGCCTCTTCACACCGAAGCCCGAACGCTTCGTGAAGCTTCCCCATTTTGACCCAGGCTACAATGTGCTTCTCCAGTACAGGAAGAGCGAGGTTGAACAGGAGCGCCCACCTCCACGGGACCAGCTGGTGACGGCATTCAAGAAGCTAACAAAATTCAAGGCCGACACCAATAGACCACTGAATCCCAATCAGGCTTTCCTCTTGAGAACGGTGCTACACTACCTTTTGGTTACCAAGCCCGAGGCTGACGCTCCCGTTGACCTCAAAATGAGCGACCTCGAAAATGCTATGGACGCTGCATTGCTGCCTCCCAAGGGCTCTCCCGAATTCCACCTTGCGCTAGCCCGGTTGCTGCACGAGGAGATTATGCGCAGGAGGCTCATCTTGTTGAATCCCGAGGAGCGCAAAGTGCATTTGACCAAAGATGACTTCGCGAGATACATCAAGGCATTGACGCATTACGGAGGCTCCCTGGAAGCAGCAGGTCGAGTGAAAGAGTTTTGGCAACAATTGAAGGATGAAAGGAGCGCTGTTAACTTCAGAGGCGCGGGGAGAATCTGGATTATGGTGTTGGAGGGCCTGGCGAACGAGGGTCGGGAAGAGGAACTACTACAGTTTTGGGAGGAGGCACAAGAGACGGGAGGCATCAAATACATCCCGGGCGTGCACCAGATCTTCGTTACATACTATGCGAGGCAGGACAAGATCGAGGAAACAAAGCAGTGGTACAACAAGCCTATACACAGCGGTTTCTCTCCCACGGGAGAGACATTGCTGGAACTGGTGCGATCATCACGGCGATCAAGCCAGAGGTGGAATGAATGGCTTTTGCCAGTTTTTGAGCAGGTGGTCCAAGATAAGTTTGCGAAGAAAGGATCATTGGACGCCTTCCTACAATGGTCCGTCTTAGCTCTGGATAAGGGGCCAGACGGCATTAAGACATACCTCCAGACCATGGCCAGCGGCGATTTCTACCAAAGTCATGAGGTCAAGGTCGATGCCACTACCATCAACCGGCTTATGCAAGCCGCCCAGGAAAAGGGGAATCCGTATATGGCTGAGAGGTTTTGGCAGCTGGCCCAGGACTTCAACATTAAAGCCAACGTTCACACCTACCTTAACCAAATGTCATACCGACTCGACGCCAACGATATCGAAGGGGCTCATCAAATCTTCTCGAAGCTCGCATCGGGAGCCGTCGAGGTCGAATTCGACGAAGACCTGCCCGTAATGAACAAATACCTCCGCGTCTTGTGTGCACAGCCGGAACCCAATATCCAGCACATCCTAACCATCACTTCGGCGCTCGAGCAGCGCCACGCCGTCTTGGAGCCGGAAACCATCGTTGCGCTTTGCCTTGTCTTCCTCAACCACGACAAGAAATTCGATGTAATCGACACCCTGTCGCTGCACTCCGTCTCCATCAGCCACATCGAGCGGCAGCAGATCTACAAGGCCTTTGTCGACTACATCTGCTCCCCCCAAACCACGACCGACCGCGCCTGGGACGCCTACTCGCTGCTGCGGCAATACTTCCCCGAGACGTCGGTCGACGACCGCGTCCGGCTCATGGAATCCTTCTTCGAGCGCAAGAAGCCCGACATGGCGTGCCTCGTGTTCGGCCACATGCGCGCCCACGACGACGACAACATGCACCCCACCGCCGACATCTACGTGCGCTGTCTCGAGGGTTTGGGTCGGTGCCCGATCCCCGAGCAGCGGCCCAGCGACCCAGCCAGCTCCCTGAAGATGGTGCACAACATGCTCAAGATGGACACGCGCGTGGAGATGAGCACAAGGCTGTACAACGCCCTGATGTTGGCGTACGCGGCCGGCGGAGACCCCTTTACTGCGCTGGATTTCTGGGAGGAACACATCACTCGCTCGGCCGAGGGCCCGTCGTATAACAGCTTGGCTATTGTGTTTTGGTGTTGCGAGCTGATCCCGCTAGGCGATCGGTATGCTAGACCGGTGTGGCAGAAGATGTTGCGGATGGATCTGGAGGTGCCGCAGTACGTTTTCAATGCGTATTGCGCGGCTATCGCAAGGAGTAACGCGGCGTGGGGGAGAAAGATGGACGAGGTGTTTAAGCTGATCAAGGGAACTGATGCGAGCTTGGGGTATGGGGCTAGTATGATGACGTGAGTCTCCCACTTTTGTTACTGTTGGAAGACTCCTGCAAGACGCTGTCAACAATGCTGACAATAACTGAATCAAACAGGCTTGGACTAACCTATAACGCCCTTCCCGACCCCGTGTCCAAGGACGAGTTCGCGGCCTGGGCAAAGGAAGAGTACCCGGAGGAGTGGGCGAGATTGGAGAGTAAGGGGCAGAAAGAAACCGAATTTCAGGGACCTGTGTTCAACATTACCAGGCTGTTTGAGGCTTGACCTCAACCCGAGGGTCATATTACATAAGATATCGACAGTAAGTAGAAAGAAAGGAAAAACAGGACTTGTACAGAAGACTTTTATATTTTTAGTCAGAGAGAAGTGGGGGTACATCGTTGTATGATTGTAAGGTGGCTTTTTGAGCTTCTGAGCGGGTGGGCAGGAGGATGGTTTATCTTTGGGCTGTACAGTACATTTAGCACCTTTAGAAGAAACTAGAAGGTGGATATAGGAACCGGTTTTGGTCTAGATTTAGTCTTTTTGTTCGTTTCTCCGTCAGGGTCTCTGTAGATTATGCAGTAGCACAGAGGAAGTGATCGTTCACACCATCTTTCATGCCCACTGTCCGCATTCCTCCACCATCATCCAAGCCCAACCTTTGCAAAATACCATTTTGTGTGCCGTGTATACAGTAATAATACACCAACTCTATGATAACCGTAATAGAGTCCACCGATCAACCATCCATCCAGCCCATACCGTGCTACCAGCCATGCTTGCTAGCCAGACAGCGACCTCACGCCCGTAACCGCCCAGTCATGCAAATTGCCCCCATAATTTCCCCCCTCATCCGCCCAATCCCAGACCTTCCAGACCATTTTAGTTCTCATCCTCTCCATCAAAGTTCTTGGTCTTGTTCGCCTTCTGGCCCTTGGGCACAACAAGCGGCAACAAGTGCCTGCCGTTGCTGTTCTTGAGGATCTCGGGGTGCTTGTGCACAGAGGGGTGAATACCGAGGCCGATGGCGCGCCGCACCATCTTGGCGATCTTGCGCTGGTTGACGGGTTTCAGGCCGGTTTCCTTGGAGTGCCTTATCCGCCCGAAGGGAGTGATGTAGTCGGAGATGAGGGAGAAGTTCTGTTGTCCCAAGGATATTAGCATTTGCCTAGCCAGTTTTCAAGACGATGGAATTGGGAAGAGGGGTGGGTGTATGAAGGAACAGGAACAAGCGAAAGAAGGAAGAAGAAAAAAAAAAAAAAAAAAAAAAAAAAAAAAAAAAAAAACATACACGATAGTTATCCAACGGACTAAACCCAAGCTCATCAACCACATCCGCCGCCTCCACCCATCCCCCGTTCCTGCCCTTCATCTCGTACGGTGACAGGTCGCGCGGCGCGTACACGTCGCCGTTGTTCCACCGGCGCTTCATCATCCGCATGTAGTTGTTGGAGGTCACCTCGGACTGGAGCAGCTCCTGCACCTTCTGGCTGTTGCTGCCATAGCGCTGTCCTCCGTCGACGTCGCGTCCGTTGTTGTAGCTGTCTCTTCCTCCCCGGCTGCCGGCGCCGCTGTTTAGGAGGTTGAACATGTCCGACTTGTACTGGTTCGAGCCGGCGTTGTTGTTGTTGTTGTTGTTGTTGCTCGACGGCGACGGGGTGTTGGTGTTGGTGCGCGGGGCATTTTGGAAGGAAGTGGTGGGGATGTCGCGGACTGTTTGGTGATTGAAGGTGTTGTTAGCTTATGTGTTATACTTATAGAGTTGTGGAGGGCGGCATATCGTGTTTGCGATCGACGGAGCGAACATACTGGCAGCGGCCGGCGAGGTGGTCGAGAACTGGGCGGTCCTCTGGCCGGCAGCGCGGCACTGCCTGAGCGCAGAGGAGAGGAATTGACGAGAGGACGACATGGTGGTGGTGGTGGTCGTTGTTGTAATGGTTACAACAGCTTGTAACAGCTGGGCTTTGGCGATGTGTAAGTCCTCTCGGGGAAACCACACACACACACACACAGACAAGAATGGAGCTCCCGTTTCGCGATCGGTCGGAGTCGGGAATCGGGGATCGGGGGTTCAGTCGCGACGGGGAGATGCGGCGGCGGCGGGCACGGTCGGTGCGGGCAATTGGAAATTGGAGCTCCGGGCCGGCAGCGACACTTTTTGGCGGATCAATCTCTTTTCGGCGCAGTGCCGGGGCCTGCCGCGGACTGGGGCGCTGTTGCGGCTGACAGCTGGCAGGGCGGGAGCTGATTGCTGGAAGCCTGAAGCGTCCCGATTTATTTTATGGGGTAAAATGGAGCTCGCTGCGGGCTAAGAGTGCGCTAAGCAAGGGGCCCGGCAGGCGAGAAAGTGTGGGGCAAGAGTTTTCATTGCAGCAAAAGTTCAACGCCAGAACCACCACCACCACTTGTACTGCAGCTGCTGCTACTATCAGATTACGATACTGAACCATTCATCGCCTCCACACCCGCCCGATTGATACTGCGTCTTTGATACCTTTCTACAACGACACACTCCTTAACACAACTAGAATAACACACCATCAGTAACACAGACAACGAATTGCCAACATGGTCCGCAAGCTCAAGCACGCGGAACAGAAGCTTCTTCGGAAGACCGACTTCATCAACTACAAGTCGGATAACAAGCACAGAGATCACGATGTCGCCAGGTACGCTCATTCGCTTTGAGTGGTTTTTGTGTGAGCACATCTGCTAACAGTCACACAGACGGTACATGATTCAGAAGCCCGAGGACTATGTATGTTAATTCAATCAAGGATGAGGCTCACAGTGATTTTTCATAAGGACCATGACAACTGACCCCCTTCTAGCACAAGTACAACAGGATGTGCGGTGTAAGTGTCATCAACTAACCCTATGTGAAGCTGTTCATGACATACTGACATGATATGCCACAGTCCCTCCGCCAACTCGCCCATCGTCTCAGTTTGCTCCCCCCAGACAACGAGGTGAGGCGAAAGCACGAGGAGCTTTTGCTCGACAAGCTTTACGACATGGGAATTCTTTCGGTATGTCTTCCGGTATCGAAGTTCAACTCGAGCAGTTATTAACGTCCGATAACAGTCCAAGTCAAAGCTGTCGCAGGTGGAGCACCAGGTCACAGTCTCGGCCTTTGCCAGGAGGCGACTGCCCGTCGTCATGACCAGACTTCGTATGGCCGAGACCGTGCAAGCAGCGACCAAGATGATTGAGCAGGGCCATGTCCGTGTGGGTGTCGAAGAGGTCCGTGATCCTGCTTTCCTGGTGACGAGAAGTATGGAGGACTTCGTCACTTGGTCTGTCGGCAGCAAGATCAAGCAGAACATTATGAAGTACCGCGACAAGTTGGACGATTTCGAGCTTCTTTGAGTGGCGGAAGAGCATGGCTGCGGGCATATCAGGAAGGGGTAATGGTACGCTGGGGGAAAGGCTGGAAAATGGATTACTGGGAAAGGACATATTACTGCGTTGTTTGCAAGTTGGCATTTACGGGTGGAGTGCTCATATGTGAGCAATATTCTGTGGCGTTTTAGGGTAAAGGCATTCAAAATATGTGAAAGGGATTTAAGATACCACCATTCGGGTTTACAGGTAAATATGAGAACTCGGAGTTGCGGTGGAAGTGTAGGGCTCTTTCACTCGAACTTGCAGTGTGTCACTGTGACCAAAGCCTGGTGAGTCTTCCTTCCGAACCACTACCAAGTATCCGACAACATCACTGGCACTGCATACTTATAGGTTTTAGGGGTGCTCCTGCATTCTTTCTGTTCAGTTCCCCGAAACTGGCAGCACACGGAATAAAACATCCGACGAGCCTCGCTCCTTCCTTGAAGTACACCATCACAACACCGGTCCCGTCTTTTCCGTGCTTGTGGGCTCATTTACAATGGCTCACTCTTTCATGAGAGCCGTCCCTTTGGGCTGCTCCTCTTCTTGGCATTTCCTTTTTATTTTCTCTTCATCTTCCGCTCCACTCCCTAGAGACACTTGACCTAACAAATGTCTCCGTATTCTTAACGACGCATCATCATTCACTTCATCCTTCATCCTCGGCTTTATCTCTATCCTACATGGTCCTGGTACTCTTGGTTGTCTTTCCTGCTCTTGCCAAGGTCTCCTTATACTTCTCGTACCTCCTAACCTTGGTCCTCATCTTGTCCTCAAATCACGGTTGGATTTCCTTCGACACCCCGAGACACCGGGCTCCATATCAGATTAACATCGTTCCGTGTGAGTTCGTCCCACGGAAGAGCTCTTCTGGCACCAAACCGCCAGTCTCATCCTCTGTGGTATACAACCGCCATGTCTACTTTCGAGAAGAACCGCGTTCGAGATGCGCACCCATACTCTGGGCCCATCGATCCGCCACCATACCAGCGCGCCCCCTCTTCGGAGCTGTCTCTCCCTAGTCTCAGGGGTAACAATGCCTACCAGGAGACACTGAGCAACATCTCGCATTCTCGGTACTCTTCGATGGATCGTGACTCGATTCCCAAGTATGAACATCTCGATTCGGTTCCAAGTCCGAACATGACCATCAAGTCAGGCAACATGAGATTCATGATTCCTCCTCGGAAACGTACGTCTACACGTCATCTTTGTCCCAACCCCGCTAACTGTTCACCAAGCAGATCCTTTCACTCCCATGGACACTACGCCCTTGAGTTCTAGAGTACCGCGCAACGCAAGCTTCCGAGTCACATTCGATTCTTCAACCCATGATCTCGATTCACCACTAGAATCAGGGCGTGATTACTTCTATGGCGCAACGTATGAGGAAGAACCGCCCGGCCCCTCTTACAATCTCAACGGTCCGCCCGGACAGAGCTAGAACCTCTACCCCCTCAAAGAATGGATAGAGACGAGCGGAAACCAGGACCCCTCAAGCAGTGACTTTGTCCACCATACATTGCCCGATAGTCAAGTGTCTCAGGAACTGTCAGTTACTTCGAAAGGCCGCCACCAGCATGGCCACAGCTTAGAACCAAAAGTTCGAACGGTTGCGGAGCTCGCGAAGTCTAGCGCATTCGATTTCACCGGGCAGAAGGGGATACTGACAGCTGTTCCATCGCCGAACTTGCCGCCCTTGTACCACCAAGAGGGAATGCTTGACTTGGCGACTTACATTGCCTCACGGGATCCGAGTCCCATGGGCCACACGCAAGCTCAAGTGGATGTTGCGAGCCATCACCTTGCGGCTATAACACCCTCTCATGGGGAAATGAACACTTCAAATATCATTTCAGCCTGTCTGGATTCCCCTCGCCACCTCAAGTCCACCGACAGCCGCATGAACCATCATTATGGTTATTCCTTCACACCAGAGATGCAGCCATACAATGACGGCGATGGCTCAAAAGATTCTGCAATCGGCCAGGCAGTGACGCCGCGCGGATTCTCAAAACACAAATCAGCATCCGAGCTCGTCGCATACTGGGAGTCAATGCAAGGTAGCAACGATGCCAACAATGCTACGCCGGCCAAGCAAGGCTTGCCACACCGACCTAGGGCTGATTTTTCGACTGTCCCTCCTGATTTCAGGGGAAGCACGGATCGTACTAATTTCGGTAAAGCACCCGAAGGAAAGCTTTATCCTGTAGCTGAGCATATATCAGTGCCATCAGACAATAAGTTAGACCCAGCGGCAACGTCATCAGCCATGGGAAACTTGAACCGCACAAGAGCCTGGCTACGAGATCTTATCAAGCAACCGCAGCCTTACAAGACAAAATTTACTGAGCTCCCACGCAAGGATTCAATGCATGAGCGCTTATTGGACGACTATGACTCTGCGTATCCTCGATCACTGCTGAGGAATTCCACAGCCGGTGCCTCAATAGACATGAAATTCCGAAGTACTGTCAACAACCTGGAGAATCTTCTCAGTGAAGCAATGGAGCTGGCAGCAGTCACCGCCCAACGAGAAGTTGACCACCAGTGCCCAGACTACTATGAGCTTGACGAGCTTGCTTACTGCGATGTGCCAACACCTCCCGGCGTACACAAAAGTTTTCCCAGCGAAAATGGGTCTATGGTGAATGAGGTTGGCGACTTTGACTACTGGACTGCTGTAGAAAGCGCCTTGGGAATAGATCATAGCAGTGAAAATAACATACGGAAACCGAAGCATTACCGGTCAGCTCCAGGAATGCACAGTAGGAACGTGGCAGTCAAAATCCCAAAAAGAAAATCCAGTCTGATGCAACCAAAGATCAAACCAAGCTATTCGACTCTGGGTGGCCCTCGCTACGAAGAACTAGGCGGAGAACCTCCGGCGCAGGGCCCGGCTCCAGGGCCAATTGGCCTAAGGACCAAGCAGTCGTCAAGATTAGAAACCCCAGCCAGTCCATCTGCCAGTACAGACTCGCCGCCACCGTCCGGGTGTCTGCCGAGGGTTGCTTTAAAACTTAGAAGCTACCGTAGCTTTGGCGCGATACGGCCTCTACGCCATATCAGTTCACTGCGGCCACAAGCTGATGGTGCTATGGATACCCCTGGTGACGAGAGTGATTCCACAGTTGTTCGTACATTACTCAAACGCAGGGTTCCGGCTTCAGGTTAGTAAATATCCAGTGTAGCTAATCATTCTGAACGATATATTGACTAGTATCAAGGGCTCGATGGACCAGCCACGTCAACCGGGGGCCGTTCACAGCAATTTCAAACCGCTTCATGGACTTATGGCGATGATTCAAGGGGCCTGGGGGAAGGGGAGCCAAGGGACGCGCCAGATACTCGCATTGATCTGCGTGGAAGGTCTCATGTCAGCCTCCGTGGTTACCAGGGTTTTAGCCTGGCACGAGCGTACCGTCGACAACCAGTAGCCCGAGACTGGTCTACTGCCCGTAAAAGGTTCGTTGCCGGAGTCGCATGTCTGAGCACCGCGTTCATCGGCATGGTCATCGGCATCTATGCTGGGCTTGTCCCATCCATCCAGTACTGGATAGCTGATCTCAATCACTATGCTATCCTGGGTAATTTCTTCTTCTACTTGGGCTTGGCCATTCCCACCTTTTTCTTTTGGCCTTTACCGTTGCTACACGGTCGGAAGCCGTACATCCTGTCAAGTTTGATACTAGCGATGCCTTTATTGTTCCCCCAGGCTATTGCCGTCAGCACATGGCGGTCACCGTATGTGAGCACTTGGAGGTGGGCTCTGCTAGGCTCACGCGGATTCATGGGGCTCACTCTTGGGTTTGCGAGTATGAATTTCCACTCCATGCTGACAGATCTGTTTGGGGCTTCGCTCATGAGCGGCAATCCACATCAGGAGGTAGTCGACAAGTTTGACGTAAGAAGACACGGCGGCGGCATGGGCGTTTGGCTGGGACTGTGGACGTGGTGCTTTACTGGGTCCATTGGCATCGGATTCCTGATCGGAGCAGCGATCATCAACAATTTCAACCCCTCATGGGGTTTCTACGTCAGCATCATGATGATAGCTGTCGTGCTTCTTCTAAATGTTGTATGCCCGGAAGTCCGACGCTCTCCTTTCAGACGATCTGTGGCGGAAGTCAAGGACGGTAAACAGGTGTCACGGAGAGTCGCTCGTGGGGAAGTCATGATGCATCGGGTGAAAGATGGTCCGACCTGGTGGTGGCAGGAAGTCTAGCACGGTATCTTGCTATCACTGGAAATGCTTCGACAACCCGGATTCATGATTATGGCCGTATATGTGGGGTGGATCTACGCGCAGGTGATTCTCGTCATCTGTCTGCTTGGCTCGCTCACGTCCAAGGATTACAGGCTCAGGTCGCCTTTGGTTGGCCTTTGTGTTGCGTTTATCTCCATTGGCGCACTGGTCTCGATACCTTTCCAGAAGGCGAACATATTTTCTCGCCACAGGAACTACCCTCAGCTGTCTAACATGGACACACTTCTCGACAAAAAGTTTACATGGACGTCACATCTTCTTCGCCGCGCCATATTCCTCACCCTTTTGCCGATTCTAGGCATGGCATACACGGTGTCTTCCGCTGGAGGTCACATACCGGTACCTGTGCCTGTTCTTTTTGCTACTCTGATGGGTACCATATCAGCCCTGGCAGTAGCTGAATGTAACGGACTCATCATGGAGAATTTCGACTGTTCCGACCTACTCCCGGGTATGATTGGACGTCCCAGAGGGTATTCGAACAAGCAACCCAAGCGCACGAACTACTCGTCACACCCGCGGATAGCTGCTGGGTTTGCTGTCTGTCATACCTTTGGCTTCCTTCTTGCGGCATTAGCAACCACTGTAGCTGGAAGAGCACAGCGAAACCTCGGTCAACGAGAGGCAACTGGCATCGTCGCTGGCGTGCTGTTTCTGTTGACTGTCCTTTTGCTTGCAGTCCTTGTTCGCTTCAAGGAAATCGAAATTATCCCAAGCTCCAAGACAGTCGAGATGGAGAAGTGGCAGAAGATTCGTCGTGAAAGCATTCGCAAATCTATCATCGAAATTAAAGCTGGGAGACCCCTTCCAGTAACCATGACAGATGAAGAGATCTGGCGTCCCCGTCTTCCTGGAAATCCATCGAGCCAGTTCCGAAGAGTCAATATTCTGGAGTTGGGCGCTATGACAAGATGGACCGAAATCCGGAAGAAGAACAAGCTGATTGACGAATCGGCCGCACATTTGAATCGGGCAGCGCTTGAGTCTGCGCGCATGGCTGTTGAGAATGCCACTGGCATTGGAGCAAGGACAACAAAGATGATACGAAAAGTCAGTAGTCGCAAGGGAAGGAGAAAGCAGGGTCAATCCCAACGCACGATGTACAAGCACCTAGGTGTGCCACTTCAGCCGGAAGAAGCAGGCCCAAGTCGTGGTGATACCGCGTCACCAAACAGGTTTGGTCTTTATCGGTTTGATGCCGAACCAGCGAGGGCTGGTAAGCAAACAACTACTCTTACAGTGCCTCCAGGATCGGATGGTTTCTCCTTCAAAGCACATTCTGACTTAGACACCGGGAGTGTGCTTGAGCGTCCTGTCCCTGAGGAGGACGAGGACATGGTTGATTTTATCACTTCTTCGGAAGAGGATGGGAACGACAGAATTGAGTTGGATGAATTGGGACCCTTGGAAGGCTCCCCAAGCGGACATGCAAGGAAAGAGGTTTGAACGTTGTTGGTCCGATGAGGCCAGGGTTGAAGTTTGATCGGGTAGCCCTGTTGCAAAAATTCCTTGGTCGCCTTCGTATACTAACATGCGAATGGTTATCCTTTAAAACAACATTTTCCCCGGAAATCGCAACGTTGGACGAATCTCTTTTCGGATGATCAAACACTAGAGCTCGGATGGACATCAGATGGTGGCTCCACTTTTCAGGGGATCATGAGATGGTTTGTTTACTTGCTGCCGTATGAGGTTAGTACCCGGCCTCGGTCCCGAGATTGTGGGGAAGTAGCGGGGTTGGTGAGGACCTCAATTCACATCCTGTGCTTCCCTCCCTCCGTGATCTGCGTTTGCTATCATTGGCGGTGAGAAGTGATATAACCTGCAAGGCGTGGGAGGATCCCCTGAATGATAAGCATTAATAATAAACACAGAGTCTCATGTCATTTCTCTCCTCGGTGTTACTCTCCATCACGACAACCATCTTGCATAGAAATCACAGGAGATTCCCGGCGGCAACGTGCTTATCGACTTCCATCTGTTCACTTGATTAATATCACCAAACCAACTCACCAAGATGGCCCTCCCAACCCTCTCCAAAGCCGACCTCATTGCCCTCTCCGAAACAGATGTAACCCAACCCATCCCCAAAGAATCTATCTTTGCCGCCCTCGCCACCCCACCCTTCCTCTACATCCCCGGCACCTTTAACACGCGCGACCTCGGCCTCCTCCCCTTATCTTCTAGTTCCTCCAGTGGCAAAGGTCGCAAAGTCGGAATTCGCCCAGGCCTCATCTACCGCTCCGGCGGCTTCTTTCCCAATGGCGGCTTCAACGACGCTGCCAAGACGCAACTGGCAAAGCAGCTCGGCATCAAAAAGATCTTTGATATCCGTTCCGTAAGGGAACACAGTCATGCCCCCGACCCGGAGATTGCAGGGGTAAAAAACTACTGGATCGCCGCGGAAGCCACGGAAAAAGAAGCGACCGTTAATCTTGCCGATTTCCTCGAGGGCAAAGGAGAAAGGGGGTACGTGAAGATGTATATGGACGTTCTACGGGGGTATGAGGAGGTTATTGGTGCTTTGTTAAGGAGTCTGTTAGATGCTCCTGAAAATCAAAAACCGGAGCCGATATTATTCCACTGCACGGCGGGACGGGATAGGACCGGTGTGGTTGCTGGATTGCTCCTAAGCTTGGCGGGGGTGAGTGAGGAGGACGTGGAGATGGATTGGATGTTGAGTCGGATCGGAACGGAGTTGGCGAGGGAGCAACTTTTGGGGTTTGCGATGAAGGGAGCTGGAGCCAGGAGTGTGGAGAGCCCGGGGTTTGAGAATTTGGTGTCTTTGAAGAGGGAGTGTTGGAGGGCTTTTGTGAGGGAGGTTAAGAGGGTGTATGGTGGATGGGAAGGGTATGTGAGGGGGGTGTTGGGGTTGAGTGAGGGGGAGGTGGAAAGGATTGGGAGGGTTTTGAGGGGGGAATAATGGGAATGGGAGGCGGGGATTAGAGTAAGATGTGGGTGCAGGTGTAGGGTGCAGGTGTAGGCGAGGTGCAGCCCGAACAACTAGAGGGTATGAATTTTGGGGGGTGAGTCTTTGATGAGACACTATACGACTCTCGTCTCGGACGTTACGTGACCCCATGAAAGAGAGTGATACACTGTAGCATAGTGAGTAATGTCTAGAGGTGATTGACGGAAGTCAGAGCAGGCGACAAGCGACACTCCCCAATGGTACCTACCCGAGTACCGTGACCTGTCAACCCTAAATCAACCCTTTCCAGCTGTCATCCCATCGTTCCAACTTTTTTCTCATCTACCACTCTATCTTTATTACCACAAACCTAACAGTTCATCGTCACCTCACCACCATTTCACCTCAACTTCATCTCGTCCTTCAAAGTGACATCACCTTGGAATTGAGCCGCCCAAACAGGTTTGACTTTCCAAGTAAACCACCGCGATTGGCCACAGCGCTTACAACGTAAACCACCCCTGTTGGACCCTGAATTTCCTGAAAGAGAGGGCCTGGCTTCGCTTGGTTATAGGGCAACCAATAACCATGTCGGGCGACTTAGGCGACTCAAGCGGGATGACGCCACTGACGTTAGCGTGCAACGTGGGAAGCGTGTAAGAGGTAGAGAGGTATGGGACGGAATGTTGGAACTTGGGGGACCCTTGACCACATTCCAACGTCTTTTTGCCGATCTGCCTTTGAACATACGCAACCCATCAAAGGCGATGTGATGATGAATAAGTCACAGGCATAGGCGCAGGTGCATGTGCAAGTGCAGGTCTAAGGGTCCTGCAGTGACGAACGCCAAAGGGTCCATCCACACCACCCCTTCGAGGACACTGATAGGATGTGAGGCCTGAAAAGCCAAGTCTGCCATGGTATCTTCCAAGTCCCTTGATATGGGGGACCTACATCAGCTTCTTTATCGCCCTTGATGTCATCCTCAAGGCATGTTAACGAAGCCAAGGGGAAGCCAGTGCGTGGCCAGGTAGGCCAAGGACCGTCAGGCCACTCAGATGTGGCTGTGTCAGTGTGAGTGGGATGGTGAGAAAGTAGAGTAATCGCTTGGCTAGTTAGGTATTGGATGTTGGATATCACTTCGTATAGTGTGGTATCTGTTGGTGTTGACTGAACAGCCTGGCGTCGTCATTTTGTAGTGTGTGGCTACGTAGGTGGAAGTTGAAGGAGGTTGTGTAACAGCGGGACGACAATCAACGAAAACGAGAAAGCGGGATGGGACTTGACGGGATCTTCGAAAACCTCATGACCATGACCACCACCCACTACAGACTGCAAAGAAGGGATGACGTCCGATTTGACTACCATACCAAGAAAATAACCAACTTTGAGATAAATCATCGGCTATATAACTCGGCCTTGCTTCACCTATTTCCAGATTTGGTTCCATCTCATCAGCATCAACATCATCAAATCAAGCTACATTCACAAACATAAAGACTTCCACAAACCAAAAGTTCAAGAGTCAATACTTGCCCATTACCTCCACACACAAACAACCCAATTCCAAACACAAATCACCTCAACCTCAACCCCAAAACCAATAAAGAAAAGAAAAAAAAAACAAGATGTTCGGCCGCCGTCGTGCCCACGCCCCCATGACCAGCACCAGGACCACCCGTCCCATGGGCTCCGGCCTCTTCAGCCGCCGTCGCGTTCACCACACCACACCCATGACGACCACTCACACCACCCACACCACCCGCCGCCGCGGTTATGGCCGCAAGAGGCACCACGGACAAGGAATGGTTGCCCCCGCTGCTACCACCATGGGAACCACAGCCGCCGTTCATCACCACCAAAAGCGCAAGACGAGTCTCGGTGATAAGATCAGCGGGGCGCTGATGAAGATCAAGGGGAGCATTACGGGAAGGCCGGGACAGAAGGCTGCGGGGACGAGGAGGATGCGGGGGACGGATGGACGGGGGAGGAGGAGACATTATTAAAGGGGAAATCAGTATTGAGTATTGACGGTTGAGTAGGGAGCGGGGAGTTGTAGGATTGTTGTACAGTTAGTTTTGTAATGTGTCTTTCTTTTGTTTTGATGATTACGTGTACTTGTATGTGGGGGCAGAAGCAGAGAGAGATACCCTTGAATGCACAGATGAAACTTAATACAACATATCAAACAGTGGGATGAGTTGCCTGACTATAGACACATGCACATGAGCTATACAACGATTACACAAGACCCTGCATATATCCATCAACATCACTGCACTAATCGTGGCTGGTCCATCATGATAGTATGCTTATTAAGTATTAGATTGGAGGGAACTTATGCTACGTTCAAGTGACCAAACTGAAATATAGTAAAGTAAGGCTGCAGGTATGTACATCAGCCAGAGAAACCGAAAAAGACTTTGCACCAACGATATAGAATCTGTAGATCGCAGTGCAGTCTATGTGCTCTTTGAAACGACGACGCCAAAGTCCCAATTCTTTGCTTCCAAGTCTAGGTACTCTGACGAACTGGAAAGCCAGCCGAAGGCCATTAAAACATTTGTAGGTTAAAGGAAAAGACGAACACAACCGCCATGAGTTGGTTGTGGTCGCGGGAAAAAGAAAAAATTCTAGAACTGCAATACCGAAGATAGGATGACCGAGCTGGATCATGGGTATCATACAACATCCAAACAAAAGACGTAAAATCGTGGCAAAGGTCGTAATCCTCATGACCATAACCCTAAGCCTCTTCGTCTCAAAAGACCTCTTGAGAATCGAGAGGTCTATAACCATGCTCAATGGCGGGAGAACCCATCTGGAGCTCATCAGTCTCCATATGTCGAAGATGAGGGTTCAAGGTAAGCTGCGAGTCTGTCCGCGAACGAGTGATGCCGACAGGTTTGACGATCGCTTTGCGCACCGGCGCGGTGTACAGCGGCCGAGGTCGACCAGGTCTAAGCAAGGGTACCGTTCCCTCATCATCTTCTGTACTCTCCCCGGATCGGTTGCTGGTCGAGCGGCTGGTGCAAGATGGACGAAGGTACCGGTTTTTGTGATCGGAGTCGTAGTCCGGCAAGAGGAGCGTACTACGAGCAAGCTCGTCCAGCTCGTCTTGCTCAGCCGCACGGCCCAATGGTACATCCGGATATTGCGTGCGGAACTCGATGGTCATGAGCTCCAAGTCACGCTTAGCAGGAGAAGGATGTTTCTTTCTCTCGACATCGTCCACGACTGGGACGTATGAGAAGATACTAGCAAGTCCAGGAGACAAAGCCAAGGGGTGCTTCTTGGACTGCTCACTGTCAAGGCCCAGGCCCATTGGTAAACTAGCATCCACATCAATGCTCCGGCTTCGCAGACCGCCACGACATTTCTTGGTAGGACTCTCGCTGGGCGACGAAGTACGCTTGTAGCCCCTTCGAGGTGTTGACGAGGCAATGGGAGTAGACGGCAGTAGCGAGTCCAAGCTGCTCTCCATCACCCTTTCCGATTCGAATGGATTTTGGGATGAAAGAGGCGGCAACACAGAGTCGTCCACGGAGCCTCCCCGAAGACGGGTTTCGAACTCGGTAAGAGGTCGTCGGAGTGAACTTGGAGACGCAAAAGGATCATCCAGCGACCTACGAGCGCGTAAGAACTTGCCTTCCATGAAAACGGGCTTGCGATGAACTTTTCCGCCAAAGATCTTCTGAACCTTGTCTTTGTTCAAGTTCACACCCTCATTAAGGCGTAGTTCGATCGACTTAAGACCTGACCTCTTCCCTGCAACGCCACCTGGTGCCACGACTTCTGCTTCATCCTCCTCTTCCTCGATGTTTTGTACTTTGGAGTCCTTGGACTGATTTTTGGGAAAGAGCCGCCGTTCGGAAAGCGCGTGAGAAACCTTTTTGAAAAGGCCGTTCTGTTTGACGAGGCGAGACACTTTTGAAGACGTGCTGCTGGAGGGAATGGCGGTTGTAGGTTGTGCAGGCTGTGGCTCTGACTTGAGTGCCTGGGTAGCGGCTAACATCTTTTCGATCTTCTCGGCAATCTCTGAAGCGTCAAGACCCACTGGCTTGCTGGAGGTCGCTGGGGCAGCGTTGGGCTGTTCGTGAAGATTTGTCAACGGCATTGTTGCCGATGCAGGCAGCTTGGTCATCCTACTGTTGGGCGGGTGCATCGCCAGGGGATTCAGAGCGCCGGTGCTCGACTTTGGGAGCCCCTTGACGTAGTCACAGCGGGGAGGAGCTAGAGGAGATGGTCGCTGGCGAGTGGATCGGCGTCTCGACGACCTTCTGGGTAGGCTGGGCGAGGGTCGCACGACAGGAACCGGTCGCTGGCGAATCTTTCGATTAGCGGCGGGCGCCTCCTCCACTCCAGCCTCTAAAACAGCATCGCCAACTATGCCGGTGTTGTGGATGGGATGCGGATACACACGAGTAATGGTGCATGCCGTCTCGTCCGGGGCAACGTAAGGGGCCTGGTCGATCGGCGACTCCATGGCGGAGGTCATGACTGTATCTTCAAGAAGCGCGCTGGCCATCTCGTCGATGCTAGTGCGATTGCGATTGTTGGAGGTGCCTTGACTGGTCCCTTGAGACTGTGTTTCCAGAAGACGGATGGTGGGATCTTCTTGGTTGGAGGTATCAATGAATACTGCAAGCGTGATTAGAACAAGGCCTTTGGGCTTTGCGGCAGTGAAAGCGCAAGATACGTGGGCTGCTGGTCGGGTTTGTTTTATTGTTTGCTGTCTTAGTGGAAGAAAGAACTTGGACGTACCGGTGCTCATGGTTCTGCGCCGCGAAGGCATTGTGGTGTCAGGACGGCGCTGCATGAAAGAAAGAAGAGATTTTTTTTTGGAGTATGTTACCGTGGTAGAAGTCATTCTCGTTGCTGACTATGCCACGAGATTGTGTTTGCTTTGAGGTTTTTTGAGGTCTGGAAATTGGATGAGCGAAAACTTGGTTTGGGGTGAAGGAGTGGCTGGGCCCAAGACGGGCACCGAAATGGATCAGATTTGGGTTGAAGCAGCGGCACACTGTTGTTGTTCGGGCACTTTAAATCACTGGGACGGATAATTCAACTGCAACAAGGTCAGTGTCGCCGACTCAATGCTGGCGTCAAGGCGGCGATGGCTGCGGCGGAAATCAGAGGCTTACAAAATCAGGTCTGTTGCCTGGGGCATGTCGCTCTCCCTGCCTGTTCTAGACCAGGTGACGAGCAATTGCATGAAGAATGACTGCCAATGCGCGCCAGGTTGAGGTTGGAGATGCCTCAAGGGGTCAACGGGAAATGAGCAAGTGACTGGTGCTGGTGAAGGTTCGTGGGTTGTAACGGGAAAGGTTGGAAGGAGGGGAGCGGAAGTGAACCTGGGAAGCAAGTGCTGCCTGCAGAATGAAATCAGTCACGATGTCTTGAAATTTCAGCCAAGAAACACTCGAGTTCGGCGCCGCACATCATCGGACCAAACGGCGATTGCTGGACTCTAGGGGAAGGTGGTGGGCTCGGGGCATGTTTCGAGCCGTACGTGTTCAGATGAAAGAGTGTTCGGGTCCGAAACAATCAACTACATCTTAGAGGTAGAGGTAGGTCCCTCAGAGATGGGAAAACGTGGGCCGCAACGACGGGAGGTAGGTGCATCTCCTTCGATCGGTCGTCACGGCAGGCGTACTTGCAACTTCCACTTGCGTTCCTTCCTCCTTGATGCCGACTCGTGACGAGGGCAATCTTGGGATCCGATGAGCTACTACTAGGTAGGTATGCAGAGAGCTTTTTGGTACGAGGCCTTGTTTCTTGGACGGAACCTTGATGGCCAAGTGTGAGCCGAGACTACAAAGCACCCATCTTATCTGATCAAGAGTTAATCAAGTGGAACTCATCGTCAATCCGATGACAGACACTCACTCGAGGATGAACACAAACCGGCCGACACAGGACGAGAAAGATCGGACGTCGAACATTCAGTTGAGATAGATTTTATAGGCGGTTGGCTAGCGAAGGCAGGAATGGCCATCAACCAGTATAGGGGGTCGTCACGGACATAGTTCCTATATATCTAGGCGATGTTACCAAGCGTGCTCGGGAAAAGTTGCACTTCTGGCAAGCTAAAACATCAGAGGTAGATGCAAACAGCCGTACATTGAATGACAGGTTCGTCTTAATCCAAAAGGTTGAGACTGGTGAGCAATGAATCTTGTCATGCGAGAAACAGACTTGTTCGATCAAGACGACAGGATGAGAACAATCGCAGATTCTTCCCCCAGCGTTTCAAGCGTCCCCGTGAGCTGAATCTGCCTGTTCCCCATAGTATACCTATAGATGGTTTGAAGCATGCCGTTATGTTCAAATGTAACGACTCAAGACCTTGCATTCAGGACGAGTCTGAACCGCCTACTACCCGCATTATCGAGCAGTGAAGGAAGCGGTGTCACTCATGAACATCTGCTCGGATATTCAGTATTTCTCGAACGACTCCAGAAAATGCTCACTGGAGCCCACAGATCCATGGGAATCCTTCAAGCGTAAGAACTTCGTGTCTTCAGAGGCGGACTCTATCATGGTCAACTGATGTTGTCTTCAAACGATCAGGTAGCTCTTGGCAGGTGTGTCTTTGCGGAGTTGCAATTCGTTTGTCGTTGAAAGAGATGGAGTGATTACGTCAGCAGAGTAGCCCCTTGCACGTGCTTAGGTCGTCGCTTGCGCCGTTCCGAATGTCAGCACTGCAAGGTCAGCAGGATCCGCGAAAAATCGAACGGGCGACAAGAACTTGAAGTCAATGTTTGGGAGGAGTGGACGTGCGAGGAGGTGGTGCGGTAGACGCACGGACTGGCATCCACTCTTTTGGAAATCCTCCAGATCTGATTGGCGAATGGCCGCTGGATTTGGAAAGAGGCAAGCACTTCTCCGAATGCCGAAGCGGGAAAAGCAAAGTCCCAGGTGAGGAACAAAGCAAAGCGCCTTCATCCACACTGAGAGGTTATAGGTATCCGTTACGGATATCCCAAGCACCCGACTCTACTTC